CATATGCGACCTCCATCGCTGTCGGCCGCACCGTTGGGCGGGTCCATGCACGAGACACCGAGTGCGCGAAACCAGCTCGGACAAGCGTCGCGGAAGGACGGCCGCAGCTCGCCGGCCATGACCTTGGCCATGATCACACTCTCCGTGAGCGGGTTGCCCGCCGGCGTGCACTTGTCCGCGTACGGCAGCTACCAGAGACCATTTTGCATGAGTACAGCGCAATGCATGACGACGAAAGGACTACCGCGTGCGTGTCGAGCTCGGTGCAGATGACGCCGAACGAGTACATGTCGGCGGCCGTCGAGTAGTGGCCGTCAATGAGGACCTCGGGCGCCATCCAGCGGTACGTGCCAACGCCGATTGTCATTGTCTCGTCGTCCCATTGCTCGCGCGAGATGCCAAAGTCAGTGAGCTTTGCACCTTTGACCGAATCCAAGAGAATGTTGCGGGACTTGAGGTCGCGATGGACAACCTTGGGGTCGAGGAGGTGCAGGTAGACGAGTGCGTCCGCAATCGCCAGGGCGACCGAGAGCTTCTCCACCCACGGGTATGCATCCACCGCCGTCGCCATGAGCGCGGTCCGGAGGTCGCCGCGGTCCATAAACTCCGTAATGAGTTGGACGTCAGCGAGGCGCTTGTAGCTGACGCCAATGAAGCGAACAATGTGGTCGCAGTCCATCCTACATGCCACGGCATTAGACCACGGCGATATGCAAAGTGAAACCTCACTTGGCAACGAGCTGGATCTCGGCCAAGAAGGCGTGGACCGTCGCGGTGGTCGTCTTGAGCAGCGTCTTGATCGCGACGGGCTCGTCCATGTAGGTGCCATACCAGACTTCACCAAAGGCACCTTCGGCCAGCTTGCGCTCGAGCGTCACTTCGCGCGAATCGAGGCGCCAGAGCTGCAGCGCGTCCAGAGTATCCACGTCATCCGGCAACGATGCCTGCGTGTCCTTGGTAGAGCCCGTCTTTGCCGGCGTCGCCTCCAGCAGATGAAAATCGTCGCCAGCGGCTTGCGGTCGGTGTTGGAAGCGGAGACGGTACACAACGTAGGCGCCAATGAGGGCCACTGCGACAGCGCAGCCGACAATAGCGAGCCACAAGCTGTTGTTGGATGCGTCTGTCGTCGTTTGGTTTTGGAAGCTGACTTGTGGCGTGGCCGAGGCGGACGCACTGGTGACGCCTGGTACGGCGGTGGCAGCCGACGGCGGCGTTGTAAACGTCGGCGTCGGGAATGCGTTTGTGCAGTTCATGGTCGATATCGGCACCTTGGAATCCGTGCTCGTGTCGAGAAAGAGGCACGAGTAGGGCGTGCTCGCCTTGGCGGCGTTGGCCATCCACGCGTTCAGCACCGTGAAGAGGCCGTAGCAGGACGTGTTGCTGCAGTAGCCGTCGCGCTTGGTGCGATCGACCTTGAAGGCGTAGATGTCGGTGAGCGCTGGGCACGGATGGAAGTAGTTGCTCGGGTCGCTAAAGGTCTTCTCGTACTCGGCCATGGTCAGCGCACAGAGGTCGACCGTCGCCGCCATCGTTTCGATGTGCAATCTTGGGCGGGCACCCACTGTTTAAAACCGCATCGAATGTTTGCTTTCTTCCACACTATGCATACATTCTGGCAATGTCATCGGTGGTTTTAAACAGCAAGCCAGAGCCATCTGAAATGTTGGAGGGTGATGGGCAGCACGTCGCCTCTGCCAAGATCGATTCCCGCGCAAATCCAAAGCTGAAACCACCGATCTCATTTGCCATTTGACACGAAGATGACGCAGTACTACTGGGTCAGCGTTGTCAGTGGCGCGCATGTACAGCGGGGCGTTGCAGGTGGATTTGCTTACATTCGAGGTGCCACGGAAAGGGCCACGAACTACACCCGTCGACGGCTTCATCGACTCCTCGCCCCGCATCGCGATGCAGGCCATGCGCGTGCTGTAGCAGTTTACAGCCGTCGGATTCGTCGCGAGCGCCGTATCCAGTCCAGATGACGCCGGCGTTTCGACCGCTCCGCGTCAACATTGCGCCGAGTCCGCCGGCGCTGACACTTGTGGACAACTGCGACAAAGAGGAAGGCCTGGTCCTGGCCTTCAAGATATCCGACTCTCTACGAATCGCAGCCGCCATGGGCGCGCGGCTCCACAGAAAGAAGCCCGAGAAAGAGGCACGCACGCCCAAGCTTCAAAGTAGCCAATGACCTCGGAGTGCGAACGGTGCTTCTTTGCAACCTTTTCATCGCCCACATGATTCTCGTCCAATCAAGTACAACCATGCTCGGCTTACCGCTTGGATGGTTCAATTGGGTCGATGCTACGAAACATTTCACAGCAAGCACCGATTCGAATCCAGCGCGACGGTGTTCTCAAGTCGCCTTTCTTGGACCCGATATCATGGGACGGCGGGCCGGCGACGATGCACGTTGAAACCGGATTGTAAAGATGGTACGTAGGTTCTATACGAGGGCTTGGCGTTGGCGCTGTGAAATAGGTGCGCGCAACGACAATAGGTGCAGTGATGGTCGTCGGCTGCAAGATACTTTTTCTCTGTATTTTACCCAATCCGCAAAAAGCATGCATTCCACCAATCAAACGCGTGGGTACTCTTGAATTGGACCAATCGCTGCCGTTTCAGAGTTGCACTTGCATTCTTGGTTCAACGATTTCAGTTTGCATTTGCCAGCAACAAGCACAAGACGACGTGATGGTCTACCGGATCGAGCAAGTGCGCTCGCTGCGGGCCAAGGTCGCCGCCGTTGCCGAGGCCGCCGACAGCATCGTCTACTACGTCATCGAAGTCGAGCATGGCACGTCAGCGTGGAGCATCGCGAAGCGCTACTCAGACTTTCACGAACTCTGGTCGGCGCTGCATGCGCATTTCGCCGCGCCGCCCGACGACGACTGCCACGCCGAGGTCGCGACCGACGTCGTCGACCTTGATTTTCCCAAGAAGAAGATGTTTCGCTCGCACGATCTCGCGCTGAGCCGCCTCGACGCGCTACGAAGCTACCTCAAGCTCCTCATCATTGCGCTCCAAGACGACCTCTGCGACGACGACACGACATGTGACGCCGCCACGCGCCTTCGCACCTTCCTCGGTGTTGACGCGCTGACGGACGACGCCAGCATGGATACCTTGCCCTTTGAGCCCACGAAGGCCCACTTTTATCGTGCAGCGAGTTCGTGTGCAAGTCGCACGGACTGGTCACCATGATCTTCTCGAGTAATTTATGACGTTTTTATTCACACACTACAGTCAGCCAACTCAAGCCGTCGATCGGAGACGCCGCGGTCGCAGGCGCGCCTTGGCGACGCGGGCTTCGTCTTGCGACGGCACGCGCTCCAGTTCCTACCAAGGATTGGTCTTGGATGACATTTCAGAAGGGTCTCGCACCTTGGAGAGAAGACGATGGGCAATCTCGAGCTGCATGCGGACAGGCATCGTGTCCATGGACGAGGCATGCAAGCACTGGAAAGAATGAAAATGGGCGTTGAAGCAACCAGGAACGGGTACGTACACTGGTGAGGATATCACACGCCGTGTGCAAGATATGGCAGTGCAGCGGCTCCTTTGCAAAGGCTTCGTCGAGAGGATTGAGGAGGCTGCGGTCATGAAGCTTGGAAGCGACGCGAGCCTGGATTTGCGCCTTGACAGCGACGCGCACGTCCAGGCGCCACGCATCGTCGTCACGTATAACGTCCGGCATGAAGAAGAGAAAAGGGAGAATGAAACCAACGGTTGCAACGCCCGCCATCGCATTAAAAATCGCGACGCGGTCCTTAAACTTGTTGTCCTTAAAATATAGTTGCTATTGGGACGGAATGGCAAGTAGGAGATTTCGCTGTCCTCACACTCGAGCTGGTATGGTAGATCTCTTCACGTTGGTATATGGAAAGGAGTAGTCGCGACCGTCATCAACGTTTTTGGCTTGCCATTCGTGGTGCACTAGTCACGTTCGAGCCCATGTGGTATTTTCCACTCGCTATCGAGACAACTTGCACATGGATTAGCCTTGTCAAGATGCAGATGGCATCTAGTCGATCACCTTTTGTCCAGTCGGTGGAATCCTGCTTCACATGCAGGAGGTGCGGGGTTCGAGCCCCGTAGGTGTTGTCCGTATCTTCTCTTTCCCATTAACGTTGGCAACGGAATTATCGAGGCACAGCTTGACAAGCGGCATGCAAGCATCTTTCTTGGTCGTCGTCGTGTGTTCAAATGTAGCAAGGCCAATGTGCATTGTATTGACCCTTCAATGTGTAGGTAGCTGTCGCTTGCGAGCTGGCGGATCACTCAAACCCATTCACTCACCATTGGCAGTTGCTGGTGGGACCTCATAAGCGCCACCGAAATAAGCCACGTGCCTTGGTGGCGGCCGCATCAGCCCCTCCGACGGTGGTCGGAAAAGAGCGCAAAAACGTCGGGGACGCCGAGCAGCAGAAGAGTGCCGTCCATGCAAAGGCAGTAAAATGACGAGGAAGAAATTGCAGTCATCGTACAGGCGATATCGTGACAAGATGACACGTGCAATGTAGCAACATTCAAATCGAGAATGCTGGCCAACCCAAGTCAAGGCCAACTCTACTCTGAGGCAACGACGCAGCCTGGCACGATGTTTGAGAACGTGGGGATCCGAACACGGCTAAATACAATTGGGTAGCGTTAGGTAGAGTGCGACTAACCAAGTAATGCTCCGCGCGGTGAAGTTCCGCGCACATTTGCACTGGCTCGACAGGGCCGACCAAGCGTGCCTCTTCTGCCCCAAGCACGAGACGTACCGCCAATTCCTCGTCGACTGCGACTTCATCAAGGACGTGTGGAGCACGCTTCACGCCGTCACGGTCCCTTTGGGCGTGACCTTGCCGACTACGCTCTCCGGCTACCTCTACTCGACGCCCAAGACGGCGTCCAACATGCACCAAGCCGCGTTCCGTTACTTCTGGCCCGTGCTACGCGCCTGCGTCTGGTTCAACGTCTGGCGAGTCTGGAACGATCGCGTCATTCGCGCCGACCTACTGCTCCCAAGTCCATGGACGATTGCCGTCAAGGCGGCACGCGTCGCTCAACTGCACTTGCACCACAACCTCGTACAAGAGCCCGAGCAGCCGGCTCTTCGTCGACTTCTCCGGCTCCTCGTCCAACACGAGTGGCTGGGACGTCACCTCGCGGATCGCGCTCCTGCCTCCGCCAGCCTAAATCAAGTCCCTCAACCGAGTACGCACAACGAAGAAAGTCGGACAATTTTATTTAGCATAGTTTTATTATATCTACACATAGAAGACCCACTTCAACAACACAAGTCGATGTATACCACCTGCGCTGGGCCACAGGTCTAGGACGTTGCAAGAACTGCCACCGACTGGGAGGTTAGTGCCATTTGTCAACTTATCCGGATGCGCCTTCGATCCACCAGAGCTATCCACCAGCTCGTGTCCTCGTCTGTGTGACAGCAGCCGCGATCCCATATCGCCTTGTCGAACCTAGTCCACCATGTCGTAATTATACTTGTTTCTAGTATGGTGCTTCTCCATAATGTGTCCATCGCTCCCCATGTTGGACACGGCGGTGTCACAGTGGTGAATCCACTCGGAGTCCCTTCTATGCTCCTTCAACACGATGCTTGAACGTACCAAAACGTTATCAACCAAGACACTCATTTTCCAATTTACTCCGACAGCATCATGTTTGACAACGGCGGCGGCTTCGACTTGGTTCTCGCCACAATCGTGCTCTTTCTGGCAATGCCCATGGTCTTCTACGGCGCTGGCATTCCCATGTACTCGGCGCTCGTCTCGTGCTTCTTCTACGCGTTTACCTTTGCGTGGATGTTTGGTCGCGCCGTCTCGAGCGACATCACGGTCGGCGGCGCTGTCGCCTTTACCGTCTTTGCCTCCGTCGCATTGGTCTTGCCGTGTCTGGCGCCGTCCTCGCGCGGTTTCTTGATTGTGGGTTTTCCCGCCTTTGCGCTGACGGCGGCCTTTAGCAGCGCAGCCTCCCCATTTCTCGTGCTGCTTGCTGCCACCGCCGTCAGTGGCGCGCTTGGTGGTTGGGGCGGCCGCCACGAGCGTGCGCAACTTTTCTCGACGGCGCTCAGTGGCGCCCTAATGATCACACTCGCGATCTCCGTCTACGTTATCGGGAAAGACACGGGCTCTAGCAGCTACTCGACAACGTACCGCTACACCACAAGTGATGGCTACACATACACGACGACCACCAACAGCAAGAACGGAGGTTCAAGCTTGAGCCCGAACCTCGTCGTGGGCCTCTTTTTCAGCACGTTTCTCGTCGGTCTCCTCATTCAGGCCCAGTGCACCAAGCCATCGCCGGCGGCTGCGGCCAACAACAACAACGACGCCCCGTACCAGGCTGCGTGAGCTACTTGATAGTCCGCTCTTGCATTATTGTCCCTAATCTAACTTGCCACTATGGTCTTATATGCCTGTATACCAGCAACAAATAAGAGGAATGGTAGTGCTACAGATTGGCTTCACCAAGCAGGGACGCAAGCGAGGACTCGGTGATAGCGCGTCGTGAGGCAGCTCTTCCTCCGCCAGAGTTCTACCAGTAGTAGCATGAAGTGGCCATTGGCACCAAATACTGCATCCCAGCAGTACGAAGACGATGGGCGCCTGCATCAGGCACGTCGTTGCCACCTCATGCATGCAGAGTCTCGCTATTATAGCCGAACGTACTAGGCTCATCGGTCGACGATCTCTCGGATGCGGCCGTCGGCTGCTCGGCGCGTGGCGGTCCTTGCTGCTCCGACCATCCTTCCTGGAAAAGCCAAGAGGCGACGACTCTCTATCGCACCCTCTTACAGCCATGCTCAACTGCATGGACGTAGCTTCCGCAGAGGTACCTTGCGTCATGCTTGGCGTCATGGAGCCGCGTCCGTTGAGCTCCTCCGCGCTGCCACCTGCCGCATCCGGATACAGCCGGCGGAAGAATATTGGAACGAAGAAGTGTATTTTTCTCTGTGTTTGAATTATGTCTTGAAATTTGTAGCGGATAAAAAGGACGCTCGGGGCCGCGGATTTCCGATATTGGCACACAGACCCCAGAAGATGGCGTCGGAGCACCCGAGCCGCGCCCAGCGCGCTGCGTCCGAGGCCATGGGCCCGTCGCCTAACGGCGAGCACCCGTATGGCCGCCGCATGTCGGAGCAAGGGTACACGAGCCGGCGAAGCCTCGACGACGCGATGGACGTGGACATGGGCAGCCTCGGCAGCGACGGCGGCGTCTTTGAGGGCGTGCGCATCGCGGTCCCGCCGCTCGAGATCCCGTCGTCTAGCCTTGGAGAGCTCTCGAACTTTCGGCTGGACGCGTACAAGGAAGGCAACCTGGACCTCTCGATGAGCATGGACGCGTACGCGATGAATGTCATCGAGGAAGGCCGGCGCGTGATCCGCCATTTCTTAGAGACGTGCAAGTGCTACGACGTCATCAAGAACTCTGGCAAAGTGGTCGTCTTTGACGTCAAGATCCCGATGAACCTCGCGTTCTTTGCGCTCGTCGAGCACCACATCAAGTCGGTGCCGCTCTGGGACGCGGACCAAGGCTGCTTTGTGGGCATGTTTACGTCGACGGACTTTGTCAACATTTTGCGCCACTTTTACAGCACAGGATCGCCGATGAACGCGGCGGCCGAGCACAGCATTGCGTCCTGGAAGGCGCTGAGCCTGCGCATGAATCTCTTGCCGCCGACGCACTCGCAGATGCTGTACGTCTCGCCCGAAGACTCGCTCCTCTCGGCACTTCTCTTGCTTCGCACGCACCAATTGCACCGCCTCGCGGTCCTCGACACGCAGCAAAACTCGGTGCTCTCGATCCTCACGCACTTTGGCATCCTCGAGTACCTTGTCTCGACCTTTCGCGAGCAGCGCCGGCTCTTTGACCAGTCGATCGTCGAGCTCGGCATTGGCACGTTCACGAATCTCATCACGGTGCCCGAAGACACGCCGCTCATCCACGTCTTGCACACGCTCATGGAGCAACGGATATCCGCGGTGCCGATTGTCGATGCCAACGGTATTTATATATGGTTTGGCCAACATGGAGCTCACTGCAATTTGTAGGCGCGGTCGTAAATCTTTACTCGGTCTCGGACGTCACGGTAGCGTACCATATGGATGTCTTAACCAAGCTCATGCGTCGGTGTTATGTAGGAACTCGTCAAGGACAGAACGATCTCGACGCTGGACGCGGCGGTCGGCGATATCTTGCGCGTCCAGCAAGCCGAGGTATACCTCTTGTGATTGTACACGTTTGAGCCTGGACTGATGCAGGCGTGTAGGGTATTTTGGGCGACAACCTCCACTTTTGCGCCAAGCAGGACACGCTGCATATGCTCTTTGAGAAGTTTGCGGCCGCCAAGGCGCACCACTTGGTTTGCGCGGACGAGAGCCGCCGCTGTGTAGGAATCGTAGCGCTTAGTGATTTGTTTAATTATTTCCTGCAATAAACGGCCAGCGCCATGCACGCGCCCAAGTTCCCACCGACATTAAAAAGGTCGCTCTTAGGCCCTTGGTCGGACCAAGCGAGACGCCGACAAGCAGCAGCAGCCAAGACGTGGTCGAGATGATACACTTCAAGGCGCCTTGGTCCAACCAAGATGCACCAAGGCGCCATGGAACCCTACCACTGCTAGCTACATTCTCAACTGACTGCTCTTACCATCGACCAGCCAACTGTGACACCTCGACGTCCGCGCTTGTCAATAAGAAAATCAGAAGCGTAAAGAGCACACCAAGCACTCAGCTGCTTAACTAATAGCAACGCACACATCGTCATCGCACACGCCGCCCGCCGATCACGCATCCTTGGGGCACTACCACTCCCATGGCTAGCGACGTCGTTCACTCCATTTTTCTTGTGTGCCCTTTGACGCCAAGCGCAACTCCCGAGACGGCGGCAAGCACACCGCACCGCTCGGATAGAACGATGGCAGCGTCTACAAATGAAAAGCGAGCCGCGCATGAAGCAATAGAGCGCTGTCGTTCCGAAGACAAACAGTTCGTATCAATGTTTCAAGAATTATCGCCGTTTCGACGTTTTGCCCGCTGCGCTCCATGTATCTGTGTATCAAGAATGGACCCTTGCCGAGCATCAAGCAAGGCATGGTTTTGTGAAGAAGCTCCTTCACTGGTCAGGCGCACGTGCTTCTACAAGGGTATTTCCTTCCCTTGCTCCGACTGTAAGAGGTGTCCCGCGGCGAAGCTTTCCGATACGCATGGTACATTGAATGGCGGCATGATAATAAATAGTCTATTTTCGCAGTGCTAATAATAAGATTGAATCACGGCTCTACAAGGAAGGGCCGGCAGCGGTCGAAGCCGGCGTCGTCGCGTAGAACGCAAGGTCGTGCACGTCGAGGCTGCTCCGGTGGCTTGAGTGGCTCGTCGAAGTGGAGAGCACTTCGGTGTTGCGGCGGCTGCGGTACCACGCGTCCGGGTGGATCGTGTCGAGTTGGACGCTGTCGTACATGGTCGGCGCTTGTTTGCTCTTGTCGTAGATCGAAAGGAAGCTCAGGATCGCTTTCGCGCCGCTGCAGAGGTGCGCTTCGTCGCAGAGGTCGCCTTGGATCGCGAGCAACGTGGCTTTCAAGAAGGCTTGGAGGTCCTCGAAGCGGCGCTGGCGCGAGGCCTTGGTCGAGAAAAAGAGCTTCTTCGGGAAGCGCGGGAGGTGCGAGCAGAGCGTGCAGTTGTCGCGGCCGGCGTGCGCGCGGGCAGCCGCGTAGAGCGTCGTCCAGAGCGCGTGGAACTCGGAGTAGCGCTTCGCAACGTAGTAGGAGCGGTCGCCGTGGTGGATCTGCACCACGTAGTACGTCGTCTCTTCGTGCTCGCCCACGGCCACGATCTTGGCGTGGACGCCATGGACGTTCTCGATCTTGTAGAGCATATTGATGGTGCTTTTGCAAGCGAAAATGGAAAATGAGCTCTTGTGTCAACCTCGGGTCGGCCAACGAGTGGCCAAATCCAAGCGCATGTCGCAGCATTTGGATGATGCAATCATGCGGGGCCGAAATCCACTTGGTGTTTGTATACCCGACTTGATTACGCGGTCGTCGTAGTGTCAAAGTGCAGTTTTGGTGCTGAGGATAATCAAGAAGCGACCGTCGTTCGGCGCGTTGTCCCGCGAGTGCTGCGAAGACAGACGAAGGAACTGCTAGTACCTGTGTAGCATGCGCGTGCCTCCATCAACTGCGTAGTACGGAGAGAGGAGCATGGTGGCGCGTCGTCGCAGGCCCGCGTCGCAGACACCCCATTATTCGAGTGAACATCTTCGTCGTCGTTGCGTGATCATGCATGATGCATCGGTATCGCGTGCATGTTCATGCGATTGTCCCCTTGGCGACATCATGGACACATCCTAAACGCGTCATGCGTCTGTACCATGCACCGACTGATGATACGGTGTCCTGTCCACCATTAGCTCTGTCCACTACGAGTCAAACCATACAGTATTGGCTCTGTCCATGATGACGATGCTGACATCGCCGGCAGGATTTTTGCAACATTTTTGTGGATTTTCAATTTTTATAGCCGACAAGTAGAGGTCATGACGCTCGACAAACTCTACTCACAGGCCAACCTATACGACGGCAGCATATCGTCGGGCGTTGTGCATCGCTGGCAAGAAGGATGTCTTTTCCGTGGCAAGAGGCGGCCAGCTTGGTCAGGATGACGCTAGACAGTCATGAACCACCAAGGCAATGCTGGTCGAAGCTGGTCATGGCGAACCTGGTTTGGAAAGCTGGCTGCCTGCTCGGGGTGTCTGCTTGCCGGGTTTATGCAGCCTCGCGTGGCCGTACGTGTCAGCGTATCTGCGCCTTGCTTTTTGTCGCGCAATAGGTGCGGGCCGTACTGGCAAATGTCCCCGAGTGGATACGCAGGATTCTTGGTAGCATTGATTGAGGCTCGTGACGTCAGGGTAGACGGGAAATGGAGGGTTTGGGTGCAAGACAATGCACGCACGTGTGGCTTATGTCGTTGCTTAGTTACGTGTTTCTAATATATGGAGGCAGGACGCTTAGAACTGCTGCTGGGCCTGGCGCTCGCACATCTTGAACTGGTCAAAGTAGAACTGGCACGCGGCGACGTCGTTGCTGTTAGCGTTGAGGCAGTCCATGAACGACTTGTTCTGGTTGGCGCAAGGGTTGGCCTGCTGGGGCGCGGCGGCGGCCGGGGCGGCCTCCTGCTGCTGGCTGCTGCTGTCGCTG